TACGGAGGAGATGGATTGTTTAAGTTTAGAGTTTGGAGTTAGAGATATTAATATTTGTTTACTTGTATTTGAATATTAGCCTAGGTTTGGTTTGGGAAGTCCGGGGGGTGGGGGGATGGGATATAACATTGTGTAATATCTGTGATGTATTTCTTTTTTTTTTATGATGAAAACAATAAAATTTTATATTGAAAAAAAAGAAAAAAAGAAAAAAAAGAAAAGTTATGCAAACAAAAGCAAAGACATATTAGATGTGAGAGTCCCCCAGCCTTTAACCAACCTTAAAACAAAAATAATAAAGAAGGGTAAGCAATCATTTTGATAGGTAGGACACGCAGGAGGTCTCTATTTTTCTCCTTCCAGATGTTAGATTTTTTTTTATTCGTATAAGCAATCACAATTTTGCTGTTAAATTTAATTGGCAAAGGAACCACTCCACTGCCCAATTCTGAAAAAAAACAACTGATGGAATTAAAGAGGGAAGGGAATATAGCAGTGAATAATTTGTAAGAATGTATTTTTGCAGATAATGGAGAGTTGGGCTGGTGAAGGAAACTGGCGGGGGCGGGGGTGTTGCATATGGGTGAAGATACACTGAGAATGGAAAAAGACAGTTTTCCATTCAATACTTTAGATTTCCCTTTCTCCTTTGTAAAATAAACCTTTAAGAATTGTGATAGATTAGTACTTAGCTAAGGGAGAAGGAAGTAGATATAAGAAATATTGAGGTGCATTCAAGATCCACACCTAGCTTTTTGTGCATGTTGTATTATTTTTTTTTAAAGTAACAGAAATAGATTAGAAATCAATGGATTTCTAAGGTTCAGAAAAAGCAGGACATTTTTTACATTCAAAACATTTGTGTCAAAACCTCAGGACAAATACATGTGTGAAATGCAAATCTGAAATAGATTCTCAAAAGGAATTTTAAAAAGGGGTGAAATTCACATCTCCCTTTCCCCTTATCAAAATGGGTTTCACCGAATCCCTGTGTGCAAGTGTGTCTTTGTAAATGTATGTTCCTGTGTGGCTGATTGTCTCCAAACAGCTATATACCCCATTTATGATTGTAAACAAAAGTATTTGCATACTTCTAAGAAAAGAAAATACTTGAAATGAATGGAAGTAAATTCTACAGCTAGACAACTTTCAGCAGAGAATTCCTTTGCACAAACTGTATTGAAATAAATGGCAGCTAAAGTTTTTTGTTTGTTTTGGGGGGATTGTGTCCATCAATCAGTGGTTTCAGCAGGTCTTTTTAATGGGGCAATCTTACATACATCCAAACACTTCCTATCAAACTGGAGACTTAATGAATGTATCAATAATCAATCTGCAGTGGTACCTTGGTACTCAAATGCTTTGAAACTCATCAGATTTGGTACTCAACACATTTTGATGCAAAATTTTTGTCCCAGTACTCAGTACTCATCGTTTATTTGGTACTCAATGCACAAACTAGAAATTGTCAGTGTTGGCTGCCTTGTGACACATTACATTATTCCTTATGGGAAAAATTTGTTTGGTACTCATTGTTTTTGGTACTCATCACACCTCCTGGAACCAATTAATAATGAGTACTGAGGTACCACTGTATATTTAAGGAAATCTTCTGTTGCATATAAATAGGCTGCAGTTTTGTGGTCTGTGTAGGACACATAGACATGATTGGAAAATTTGCTCCTAATCTCATTAAGAATGCTTACTGCCTGCATGATTGGGAATGTGACCTGTGAATAGACAGAATGGTGACTCCTTTTGCCATTCAGATTATTTCCATGGAATTCCCCTTGACAAAGATTTACTTGGGAGTAATTAAGATTCTAGCAGTTATGAAAAAGGGGTGGTACAACAGTGGTAGACATCTGTTACCATCTAGCGAATCCAGACTGCATCTCCCACAAAACTTATCTATTTATTAGCTGACCAGGGCTGATGGGAGTCGAAGTCCAAAACTGTAAAAGGCATGGAGTTACCCTCCTATAGTATATATAGTGAGTTGGGACAGTTCTTCAGCTTGTCTTTAGATTGCAACAATGCTTCCATATTTACAATACACCTCCACCCTGCCTGTGGAGAGTTAGTATCTCATGAAAATGGTCTGCTCCATTCAAGAAGTTACCTTGAGCAGTTAAAACATGGCTCCCTCATGTATATTCACAAAACTGGCAAGAGTTGTGGGTCCAAGAAAGCACAAGTTTACTCTGCACCCTAGTCTATTCCCTCTGCCTAAATTGGACTAGAACACAAAAGATGGAGCGTGTTTAAGATGCTTTTCTCAAAGTTCTCACACTAAGGAAAATGGAAGTTGATTCCCACAATCATATTGACTTTTTTGCACTTTTGGGTTGCAGAAGACTGGCCATCCCTAGCCTGGGCTTACAACAGAGCCTTCTAGAGCTCAACTAGGGGCTCAGGAGCACTAGGGTTTGTTTGTTTTAATCCAAGGATTGTTATCTCAACCACACGAAGGGCCCTGGGTTGTCAGCTGCCTTCACCTTTCTTTGAGAGAGGAATATATAGGAATACTTCCTCTCCAAAGAGCATGACCTAGCGATAAGCCTCCTAAGCTCTCTTTCACCCTAGGGAAGCCACCCCAATCAATCTGGCAGGAATGGAAAGACACAGCATGAATGAACTGTGCCCCTTAAACAACAGATTTGGAGTTTCATAAAGGATTTCAACACAAATATTTGTTGACCATTCTCTTTTGCAAAGGAAGAGCCCACGGTTTCAAACAACCAGTCTGTCCACTGACCCACTAATCCCATGTCTGCCTCCCTTCTCTATTAACTCCCCACCAAGTCTGCCCTGCTTCTCATCACAGATGTGTCAGCTTGGGCGCCTCTTGGATTCTACCCTGAGTAGAAGCATGGAGAGAAGAAAGGTCTGTATAGGTCGGATTACCCTTGCAAGGCCCATGGTGCTGGTTGGAGCCCATCTGGAGGGCCCCATTGTACTCCATGCTTGCAGGGTGGTGATGTTGAAGGGGGTTCAGCCCGTAAAATGATGAGGCAGAGTTGGGCATAGAATCCATGTAGTTGCCACCCACATAGACTGGGCTGCCTTGCATATTGGTGGGGGCATAGTTGCCACCCCCATTACCCTGTAAGACATGAGAATCGTACTTGGGTGCCATGTAGGTGTACTTCTGTTGGCTGAGGTATCCTTTGATGGGGTTTTGGTAGGCAGAGGGCATGGCATAGGCATTCTGGTGAAATTTGTGGAAGGAGGGCGGAGATGGTGCTTCATAGTTTGAAGTCATGGGGTGCAGGGCGTTCAGGAGGCCTGCAGAGGCCTGCAGGGCTTGGGGCAGGCTCCCTGAGGGGGAAGGCCCCCTGGAGGATGTCCCAATGCCTTTTGACTTCTGATCCTTTTTGTATTTCATCCTCCGATTCTGGAACCAGATCTTGATCTGCCGCTCACTGAGGTTTAACAGGTTGGCCATCTCCACTCGGCGCGGCCTGCAAAGGTAGCGGTTGAAATGGAATTCCTTCTCCAGCTCAACCAGCTGGCCACTGGTGTAAGCTGTACGGGCCCTCTTAGAAGCTGAGGAGCCCAGAGGGCTTTTCTCACCACTGCAGCTTTCTGGAAAGGAGGTCCGGAAATGAAATCAAAGATAATTACTTACATGCAGAAAATTGAATGCACAGGCTTCTTAATAAATCTTCTGATGGGTGAGAAGGCTACACCCTCCCCCAGTTCCCACTACATAATTGTGTCATTTATTAAGAGTTCTATTCTCCAAAGTTGCCCCGTTTTATGAAAATTTGATCATGTCACGCAGAGAAGATATCCAGGGCTATTTATTTGAGAGACCCTTTCAGAGGAAATTAACAAGTTGGCAAGGCAAAATGAATCAAGTACCTAGGTATATAGACCTGCCCTGCCCATGGCCCATCAAGACTGCTAGTCTGAATGAGTCAACAAAAGTGGGTACCTGCCTGCTTTGAGAAGTGTAACTCATAAGTCAACTTCCAGGGTATACACACACACACACACACACACCCTCTGCACTTTTGAAAGGCACATGCCCATTGCAAGCCCCCATTTATTCCAAGGGAGGGCTGCATAGGAGAACTTCTTGTGGGATTGAGTCCAGGTATTTTTATAATAAAAAGTGCAAAAGATGGATTTAGGAAAAGACAGCAAGCTTTCTATACAGATCCAAATGCTGGTATTTACTGTATCTTGTGCTTTAAAGTAAATGGAAATAGTCTTGGTGGGGGGGTTAAGGAGCTGGGAATTGTTCCCCAACCCTTCAGTCCTGACTTGCAAGAAAGATCAACCGTTAAGCAAACAACTGTACTGCCTCAAACCTCTGTGTTAGAGGTTTGAGGCAATACAACTGGACTAATCATTTCAAACTGCAATTGGGGAAACCATTAGTAATAAATAGCTCCCCCCCCTTGTAGAAATCTCCCCACCATAGAAGCAAGTGCAATTTGGAAACCGACTTTTTCCAAATGATTTCTACATCCACAATCTGAAATGAGACTAAACCATTCTATTGCTCAAGAATCTATCACCCACTTCAACCATACAACTATCCTCTGCCTTATTTGGGAGAGTTTTGAATTGTAACAAACTTACACTCAAAGATATGTTTGTACATTAACATTTGTACAGAGATGTGTTACACCTGGGTGAAACACACATAATTTGAAGTCATAGTTACTATCTATTAAATAAATGTGTAATTTTCCCAGCACTGTTGTGAGGTACAGTAAAATTCTTGTGTTCTTGCAGTGAGAAGAGATGTAAAGAAAATGTAAGAGTTTCAAGAAAATGTTTTAATGTGGGACAAATAGTATTTGAGTGTGCAGTTAATACAGATTTGGTGGACACTGGTAAGAGTTCACATGCCTCTCGGGGCCAGGTGGTTTGCAAACTTGCCTTTACAAAATTCTCTCCTAAAAATTGTACTTTTCAGTGAAGGAGAGCTTTTCCATTTAGTTCTGAATCATAGGCTTGTGTGAAACTGAATCTAATTTATAAAGTTGTTATTCTAGGCTATGATTCCATTAGTATTTACTCAATGCAACATGCACAGACTACTCAAGAATCCAAAGAAGCTGTGAATATGCAAGAGGAACTACTACTGTAAATGAAAACCAGGATATAATCTGTCCCAGGGGCTCCCAAACCTTTTGTTTTCACTGGCACATTTGAAATTTTAGAACATGATGTGGAATGCTCTCCTAGAATGTCTACTTGGGAATTTATTCTTTCCCCAAATGACTGCCATCGGGGAAAACAAAACACAGATTTATCAGAATGCTACCCTCCATCCATTGTGGATGTTTCCCTGTAGGGTGCTTCCTATTTACCTTTGTTTGCTGTTGTCCTTACTCTGGGCAAGTGGACATGCATCCAGAAATAGTACTGGGCTGCAGCCACCTATCATTTTTATTTTCTTAAAAAACAAAAACAAAACAACCTAATGGAGTCCACTGGGGCCCAAAGGCATTGGTGTTAATAAAGGTGATGCTGGAGGATGGTACTTTGCTCATGCAGCATGCCAATTTCCAATTCATTTTTAATTGAAAGGTTTTTTAAATGTAAAAAGGCTATCAGATGTGATGCCTCCAGGCACATAGATGCAACACTGGGATTCTACCTATTGCCTTTTAGTAGGACCATATTAACATGCTCAAACATATTAATCTGGCTACTCTCTTAATTCTAGCATGAATTTAGCTCTGTACCTTTTGCACAATAACACATTCATGCAAATTATTCATCCAAATTGAACTGTGTCATTGTACTCAACTTTGAATAGTGCTGCTGATTCAAAATCACTTAGTATAGAGAATTGGCTATAAGAAGTTTATTCCTCAAATTAAACTCTTTATATTAAGAAAGGAACCTCACTGACATCAAAGGAATATATACCTAAAAGAGAATTGTAACCTAAGTATATTTAGAAATTAGTTCTAATAATATTACTCTCACTTGCTTCCATTTGAATTTAGGATCTTGACACCAACTTGCTTAGAAATAAATCTGGAGCCATTGACATTTGTGGCTATTATGAACCTTGTCCCCTATAAAACCTGCTATCCCTAATAATTCTGTAGTTTAAATATCAAGCAAAACAAACAAACCTATTTCCCTACCAGACATGACTTGGACTAAATTACTACATTATATATGGACAAAACCCATTTTGTATGGTATTAGAAGGTGGAGATTGGGAAACAGTAGCCTTCATGCCTGCAACAAATTAAACAATCTCTGCTGGATACTGTATTTGTGAGCATCCATGCTAAACCAATGGCATATAAAATAGAGTACAGCACACAACTCAGGACTTGATGGAAGTACATTTTGCCAGCTGTAAAAAACAGACATTATAAACTGGAGACCATAACTCATGATAAGCCAGCTCTGCCCAGACTGTCTGGTTTTAAGAAGGCATGTTCTAGAATCTAGATCCAGCACACTGAGGAAGGAGATGACAGGGTTCAATGGTGGAAGGGTGTATAGAAGCAGTTTGGAGAGTCATCAGGAATGCTCCTGCAGCTAAACAAAACCAGCAAGCCTCCTTGTCAAAGAGGACTGCAAATTTTCTGATTCAATTGTGTTTTACCTTCAGAGAGGAGGTTTATTTTTTTCTTTTAATAGGGAGTACAAGTAGTCTTTGACTTACAGACATTTGTTTAGTGACCATTCAAAGTTACAACGGCACTGAAAAAGTGACTTATGACCATTTTTCACACGACCCTTGCAGCGTCCCTGTGGCTATGTGATCAAAATTTGGACGCTTGACAACTGGCATGTATTTATGACAGTTGCAGTGTCCTGGGGTCATGTGACCACCTTTTGCAACCTTCTGACAAGCAAAGTCAATGGGGAAGCCAGATTCACTTAACTGTGTTACTAACTTAAAAACTGCAGTGATTCGCTTATCAACTGTGGCAAGAAAGTTTGTAAAATGGGGCAAAATTCATTTTACAATTGTCTTGGTTAGCAACAGAAATTTGGGGCTCAATTGTGGTTGTAAGTGGAGGACTACCTGTATTACAAAATGGTGTTCTCACCTATAGAACCCTACATTGTGCCCAACAGCTAGGACTATTGGAAATTAACTTTATGGACATCAAAAAGGGAAGTGCTTTGAGTCCCAATTTTACTAGTGGCAGAACCTCTGCATAGGTGTAGGTGTGAGAGACAGAACATTACTCCAGTGTAAGTAGCTGGTATTGATCATCATGTGTGATTAGTATTAAAGGAATGGAGGTAGGAGGGGGTTGTTAATACCAGGAATTGAAGTGAAGAACCTGTTCCTCCTCCATTGCCAACTTTATTTTATTCATTTATTTGTTTATTTGTTTATTTAATTTATTGGCCACCCATTTTACCATAGGGTAACTCTGGGCAGCTTACAGTTACATCTAAGTTAAAGTTTAAACTTTTGCCCTTCTGCTTTCATGCACAATTCACAAAACCACTCCTATTCCACCCACACCTTGTTGTATTCTCCTTCTGGCACTCTCAGCTCTTTTTCTGGGAAAGATTCCCCTCTTTGTTGCAAGCCACCTCTCACTTCTGTAACAAGCTTTTCCATCAAGTTCAAATTTCCAAGCAGGTCCTTTTTCTGAGCTATCTTGATCATCCATTTTCTTCTAATCCAGATACGTGGAACAGGAACACACACACACACACACCTCATCACCCTGAGCCAGCATAGCTCTGCTGGCTCCACTGAATGTGGATTGTTGTTCCACCCAGGTTGCTGCCCTAAGTTAAATGATGTTCTTCCAGGGCCAAGTGGGTTGGGTTCCCAGTCTAGAACCTTCAGACAAGGGAGGGGAAAGCATGTCACTGCAAACAGTGCCTGGCACTGCCCACCCTTGAGCAGGAAAATATTGCACTGGCTTGCACTCATCCACCACATCTTTCCTACACCCCACCACCCAGCTGTCTAACCAAACTGAGCCCGCTTGTGTGCATGCAGAGAGCACTGTAGGTGCATGGGGAAGTCTGGGGCTATTTCCAAAAGCAGAAAATACCTGCACAGGGGGAGCTGTTTTTCTGCCTGGCGTTTTGCCTCGACTCTTTCATCCAGGGGAAAATCTGCTTGGTGAGGGCTGCGTTACTAGAGGCCAGGCTGGATTTGCTGGGGACACTTTTGACCGCCCCCGATTGGCTATGGTTATTGCTGCCGCCGGTGGTGTTGGATGTGGTACTGCCGCTGCCGGTGGTGATGGGGTTGGTGGGTGGCGGGGGCGGGTGATGCTCCTGAGGCAAGCTGGGGCACAGGCAGCTCTCATTCAGGTCCTTCGCCTTGGCCAGCGGGGCCGCGTTGTCCAGAGACTGGAGGGTGCAGGCGGGCCGCTGGTAATCGCTCTCCACGTGAGCCGTGGGCTGGAAGGATTGCAGAGAAGGGCCCTCGCAACCGAAGCCGTTTGCCCCCGGGTAGGAGTAAGTCCCAAAGAGCGGGGAGGTGTAGTAGCTGGCCTTTTGCATGGCTGGGGTTCACCGAGGCGCTCTCTTGCTGCTACCAGGCTCCGGTTAGCCCTTTCGTGGAAGGACATTTGCACCCCCAGGGTCACGTGACGAGGGGCCCTTCCCTTCCCCCGGTGTCTTTTGGAAGCTGACCTGAAAGGTTAGAAGGCACACACAATGATATGGCTCGGCCTCTGAATCCATCTTGGCAGCTGAAAAGCGCGTGACATGAATAGGGCGCGGGCTACGGAGGAAAGCGGGGAGCAGGTGCCGCAGCCGCCAACAGCTTTTTGCCGGGTGTTCTGGACTCACCTCGCCCCTCTCCATTGGGCCAAGATTTCTAGATATATACATATAATACATATACACAGAGCGAGGGGAGGCTGCGTGCCGGCGAACCGTTCACGAAATCAATTCCTGAATAGCTTTTCCCTTTTCTGTTGTTCGAGAGTTCAATTCCTTTTGTCCGTCCGCTTGCTTCTTTTAACTACACCATTACCTATATATAGTTCTTGTAGACAGAGAGATCGCTGCCGCAGGATTCCTTTTAGACCATTCAGCCCAATTCTCCAAGAACTCTGCCGTGGATAGTCCAACTACCTCTCTACCACCAGTCTTTTCACATACGCGCGCACAATTGCTCCAGTTACAAGGACGAAGTATTTTATTTCCACGCCCCAAAGAAGTGAATCGATCTCAACCTCGCTACCGCTTATTTAAGGGACTGAATGAAGACGAAGAAAACGGGGACGGGAGGAGGCTTGAAAGTTAAAATTCCGGAAATCTGTGGAACTGATTTCCAGATAAACTATGTCTGAGATGGAAGGTCACTTGGAAAATCTATTCGGAATGAATTTTAGTAGTATTTGCATATTTGTAACAACCACAGCCAGGCACCCGCATGGAAATGCCAAGCGTTTCGCACCCGAATTCGTGTTGCAAAATCAAAGTATATTTTCCCAATTCAGGATTAAGGAGCTTTGGAAAAACAAACCTAAGTATAAATTGGATAAAATTGTATTTAACGGTACCTTTAAATGCTTCTGAGGTTCAACATTTAACATATTGAAAATGTTTTTTACGCTTCTGAAATATTTCGAGATTTCATTAATCTGCTTTCAAAAGAGGAAGGAGCTCAAATTCTTTGATGTTGGTTCTTTTGATGCTGTTTTAGCAATTCTGATTGCAGTTTGAAATTGGCTGTGCAAAGGCCCTCTTCCCTGTAGTCGTTAAAATTCTGCCCTGTTGTCACTCAAGGTGTGAGCCTGTCCTATCTCTTTCCTAAAGCCCAGCTACAGCCCAGTTTTCATCTGCTCTTTGAAAAAAACAAATCCTGTTTTTCTCACAAAACCATTTGGTCCCTCGCTTTTCTTTCCCTTTTACTTTTATGTCGAGTTTTTAATTTATTTAAGATGAGAGACTATATCCTTCTCAAAGAAATGGGACTTATTTCACTGCTAGCAAAATTTGTATAAATATAATAAAAGCTCTAATGTATTTCATGGGCCAAACCATGAATCTGGAAAGGAATTATCTTTATCTCTCTTCAGCCCTTCTGTGTTTCATTTCATTCCAGATGGCTACATTCTATTTTCCTTCCTTTCGAGCATAAAAAATAGTATTGAAAGCCACCGCTCAGTTCTACCCATTGTTGGGGGATGGGCAAATATACCAACCTTATGTACACTGATTCAGTTCAAAATCTACAGTATATCTCACCCCTTCCTCTTCACATTTGTGATTCTCTGCCCTGGCCTTGAAACTGTAGCCATTGCTTTCTAGAGGTAGCCAACTAAAATCTTCCATGGCCCAGCATTTCTGGAAAGAATTAGGGCAGCTGCCCTGCCTCAATTCAGCATCCAGGGAATATTTATTAGCAAACACCATAATTTAGTGCTCTCCCCCAAATGGTTTGAAGAGGAAAGAAAAAGGATGTTCCATGAAGGTGGAAGGCTGATCACCCTGAGTCAGCCACTATCTTCTCTCTAGACCCACCCGGTTTTAGACTTTTTGGGAGCACTGAGGGCCAGGGAGAAATAGGCACCAAAGGGTTTTTGCTGTTGCCTTTTGTTGGGTTCAATTAAGCTGCATCTTTAAGATATTAATCTCCTTTCTACCCCAAAAAGAACCCAAAGTAGTCTATACACTCAGTAGCTAACATTTAAGTCCCTTTTTATACCTCATCTTTCAACACTTTCCAAATGTCGGCCATTTGTCTTAGTTGAAGACGAAGAGGGGTGGAATCATAAATGATTGACTCCAAGGGATTGCTGTGGTAATTAAACACATGCACACATAGACACAGAAGGAAATATCCATTGGAATAATGAATAAGAAATCATCATGTGTTTGCAATTAGTCATTGCAATGTCAACCACAGCCCTGAAGTTGGTTCTTGCCCACTTAGAAGTTTCATTTTTATTCCTAAGGATATTTCAGAATAAATGCCTCTTTTCTTAGGGGCTTTAGTTTTTTTTTTAACATAGTTTACCAAACTGAAGAATCCTAAAGCTTGTGATGAAATTGAAGGAAGGCTGTAAGGTCGAGATGGAAAAAAAGTCATAACCATTTTTCCATTAACCTCCATAATGGGGTGGGAAAAATCCTAATTATATTGCAGAATAAAACTAAGCAGCTTTTTTGTTGAAAGCTTGTTTCCCCAAAGCAAATGGTAATCCAGGTCCTTGGGCAGGATTCGATAGGTGGACAAAAATGCCAAATCTAGTCTGACTGTGTGATGAATAACAATAACAATAACAACAGTTCTTAGGTCCTTGGTTAGGACCTGAACTGTAAAGTTTTTACCAGTCCCAGACTGTGAATCGAAATGAAGTTTAAATAATTATAATTATAAGTATATGTATAAGTATAGAACAACACAACAATTCAAAGCAAAATGCTACTATATTCATTAAAGCCAAGATGGATGGAAGGAAGGAAGGAAGGAAGGATTCTAGTGAAAAAGGGAAGGATAAAGAGAAGGAAAATAAAGGAATGAGAATAGCAAAAAGAGAGCAAAAGGGGGTAGAAGAAAAAGGGAGGGAAGGGAAGGAGGGGGAAGAAGAGAGAGAGAGTGTGTGTGTCGCTGCTTGGAAGGAAGCTTACAGCTTGTGAACTCTTCATGAACCGCGCGTTGCGAGTCATACAGCTATAAATCATGGCGACACGGTCTCCGCCATTCACAACTGATAGCCTATTTCGGTCCACCTTACCTTAGCCTCTGACGAGAGCAGCGCAGCGAACAGACATAATATATTTTCGCAGCCAGAAAGCAACGCAATCAATAAGCAAGGAGAGCTCCCCCAATTCCTCTCAGTTAAAAAAAATGTTCAAGGAATATCTAGAGGGAGAAATCCGGTCATAACGCCAGTGAGAGGGGGGATCTCTCTATAGAAGCTCTGGTGGAGGGATGCTCCGGTCCTCCCTCCCTCCCTCTCTCTCTCTCTTTCTCTCCCCCCCCCCGTTTGGAGAGGAGGGGCAAGGTGAGGGAGAATTTACAAGATTCTTGACCGCCTTCCAAAGATGTTGAGGGAATCCTTGGATTCTGACTGCCCTGTACTCTCGTTATGGTACTCCCTGTTCGCGGTTAACAATGGCCTCTGGCTTTACAGCAGAAGGCAAGAGAGGAGAGAGAAAAGGGGACAGACAGTAAGACCGACAGACAGGGTACCAAGGAGGGGAAAACAGAAAGAATCGCTGACATCAAACCCTCAACTAGGCAATGCCTAGACTGAGGTTTAAACATAATACTAATATTAGCACTAATTCTAATACTAATAACCTGCTTGCCATTTAAAGGGGAGAACGAGAGGGGGGAGGAATAAGGAGATACGTACTGTAAAGAGACTTTGTATCTTGCAAGGGGGGGGAGGCGATTCTGTGTGTGTGTGTTTGTTTGTGCGCACGCGCGCGCGCCTCTGCTTTGGAGAGCTTGGCCAATGTTGCTTTCTGACAGTGTCAGTTAAGGAAAAAGCAATACGCAAATGGAGATATGGTGGACACAGAGGCCTAGCAAGAGAACTGGAGTTGTACTGATCTACATGCTTCTCAACTACATGTCAAGTTATGCTAATAAATCGACACAAAGAGAATCAAAAGCCACTCCAACACCTCCTTGTCATCCTATTCTCTTTCTTCTTCCTCTTTTTCTCTCCTCCTGAGAATTATTTCAGTACAGCTACAGAAAAGGCCTTTCAAAATTCTGCTACCTCATCTGGTGCAAACTAGACACCATATATAGAGAATATGACATCATTATGGTGGCTCCCCTTCAAGAGAAGGTAGCAGAAACATGGCAAAATGAAGTTGTGTGTGTTTTAGTGCAAATTTAAACATTCAAGGGGTTAGGAAATAGAAGGAAAGTCAAGCAAAGTTTATATATTAAGCCAGAATTGTTGTAATTGGCTCTTTGTATGCTCTGGCAATGTGTGAACAGGGAAGAGGGTTAGGAAAGAAAATGGTACATTTCTGGCAACCAATCACATTACTTTTTGCATATGGAAAGGTACAAAACCATTTGTTTGTTGGGAATTACTTCTAAGTTGTGTAATTGCAATGGGGATGCATGAAACAATTTGACATGGGAAAAGTAAAGGGAAAGATGGAGATGATAGATAGATAGATAGATAGATAGATAGATAGATAGATAGATAGATAGATAGATAGATAGATAGATAGATAGATAGATAGATAGATAGATAGATAATGTCAAAGTAACTCAAGATTTATTACCCAGTTCCTGTCCAAAAGGAGCTTTACTTGCAAAGACAAAAGGTTTGCACCAGTTTCTGCTGCTGTCAGGAAAGGGAGTTGCCATTACAAACTGAGAGTGGGAGGAAGAAGTTGAGGTCTCTGCGCATTTTGGGGCCTGTAAGTAAGTCAAAATGAGAGATCTGTTGTTACCTCTTCCCCAATCTTTTTCCCTTTTTGGGGGATGCTTAATTGCTGAATTGACAACTGGCATTGAGAAAAGGAAGAAGCACTGGAATTGGCTGGTTTATTTCTTCAGACACTCTTTTTTT